GGCTCTGAAGCCTCCGACGACACAACAGGTTCCACGTTGGCCTGCAGGCGGAAGGGAGAGTTCAAGTCAGGGTCCATGCACCCCAGAAAGCCAGGGCTCCGTGGCAATTCCGCGGACCACGTGCCCTGGAAAGGGCCCTGTGGCCGCTCCGTGGAGCCTAGGCCCCTTGCTACTTGGCTGTCACTGGCATGGCTGCCATCAAGCTAGGCAGACAGGGCCAGCAGCCGCCTCAGCCCAGGGCTCCTCTCCCTCGGAGGTGCCTCCTGCCTGACCCTGGAGAGCCCTGTGAAGATCACCTTTGCAGAACAGCAGCCAGGGACCGACCCCGAGAACCCACACAGTGGGGAGGTCCCCCACCCCTGCCTCTGTGCATCCAGCCCAGCCTCTACCTCACCTCATGCGGTGGCTGCTGCTCCTCCTCGTCCATGGCTGGGCGGTGGCTTCTTGCACGGGTGGGGAGCCTGAGGAGAGGCATGAGAGGCGGAGTTTCCACCTGGAGCCCCAGGCCTGGCTCAGGACTCACTGCGTAGTGCTCTGTCAGTCTAGAACCATCTGTTGGGCGGGACTGGGGGCTCCTTTCCCCATATCCCCAAACGCCTCCTGCTCATCAAAGGCTACTGAGGTCCAGGGTGCATTCAGGTCAGGCCCGAGTGGGGAACAGCCAGCAGGTCCCCGGGGACCCCCCATAAGCAAAATGCAGACGGGCTAGGGCGGGCTGCTGGTGCTCAGGCCTCATTCAGAACAGGGCCAGAGCTGCCCAACCTTCACCGCGGCATGGCGGGCAGACACAGGAAGGCGGCCCTGGGGTCCGTGCCTGATCTCAGGACACAGAACGCAGCTTCTGACACGTGGCAAAGACCCCAGGGCCTTTGTACAAAAGCCACTTCCCCTTTCGGTAACTACAGCCCAGGCAACGTCATCAGAGTCAGTACAGACAGAGGAATCCGCAAAGCACACAGTTCAACGTGTTTGAAGAGCCAAGACCTTCTCTCCCAGATTAAAAGACAAACATGGTGTGGAAGGAACCATGGCAGAAACCCGGACAGGCTGGGGCAGCCATGCGAGGGTGTCACAGCTCCCCACAGACCCTCAGAGAGAGGGTCTGTCACAGCCCCGACACAGCCCCT